GGGGCTGGGTGTGGCCCCAAACCACGCTCCGGAGCCAGGGCCAGGGTGGGACGGGAGCTGGAACAAGCTGGTCTTGAAGGTCACAGACAGCCCGGAGGCCAGCGTGGTGACTGTGCTGAGGCCAACCTTTCAGTAGCCGCCAGGGCCCGGACTCTCAGGGCTGGCTGCCGCCTCTGTCCACAGGCACTGCCCGCCCCAGGCCCTGGCCTGGGCTCTGAGCCAGCAGGGAGAGCACGGCCACTCCCTCCTCTGTGCCCCTGAGTTTCTTCGGTGCTGCTGGACACCGGCTGGCCTACCATTCCTCGGGACAGCTGCAGCCCCGGAAGAGGAAGAGGGTCCGAGAGGGGCTCACTGCTACGGACACGTGGAGGCCATGGCACATGTTCGGGCCACTGCCCACGCCAATGCAAGGAACCCAGGAACCAAGTTTAAAGTGTTCTTGGTGACTCTGACCACGCCCAATGGCACAGCAGAAGCTGCCACCCCGGACACCAGGGCCAGGCTGGCCAGCGTCCCCCTGATGCGTCCCTCAGCACTCCAGCCAGACCCGGGGGTCTGGATTTGGGGATGGAGGTCTGGGACATTTGGGAGGCTGGGAAAGCACACCCAGCCGGAGTCCGGGCTCCCGGAGTCTCTGACCAGCCCAGGACAGTGAAACGCAGGCCACAGGGGCCATGTGAGACACCCACTGTGCCTGCCAGATGGCAAACAGGATGCGGACACCTGAGGCTCACCGGCCATGGCCACCTTGACTCCACAGCAGGTCACCTCCCGCTGTACCTCTGCATACCGCCCTCAGCAGGTGGGCCTCAAATATCCCCCTTCCAGCAGCTCCAGGCCAGGGGTCCTGGCTCTTCCTCCCTGCCTGGTACCTGCTGCCCCTGAGTCTATTCATCTTCGGGCTTTAGAGCCACAGGGCCTTTGCAATGCTGTTTTCTCCACTCCTTCCTTTCCCAGTACCCCTGCCTCTGGGAAGACCTCCGGAACTCCGCCAGGCCAAGAGGACCATTGCCTCCTTCTCCAACGCACATGGCAGGCACCCATGCCCAAGATCTGAGTGGCCCAACTGTCACTGCCAGCTGTCAGTCATCCCCGACAGGGAAGGCCTCGGAGTGAGGGGCCAGTGGGACTCAGTGTCCCAGCACCTGTTGCCTGCCAGTCCCGGTCTTCATGTGACAAAGATGTCTTTTGAGACACCCTGCAGTACATAGCAGATTTGCAAATGTAAGACACCCAGTTAGGGGAATATTATTCAGCAACAAAAAATGACCCTTGAGCCATGAGAAGCTGTGGAGGAACCTGGGGGCATTATGCTAGGAGGCCAAGCTGCAGGCAGAGACCTGCGTGATCCTGGCGATGCCAGTCTGGGAAAGGGGAAAGGTGGGCACTGAGGTGATGGTGGCCGAGGCTGGGCAGGGAAGACGGTTGAGCGGAACACCGGGACGCTCAGGGCAGCCATGCTGCAGTGCACACAACACCATCATCACCCAGCTGGAGCTCGGGGCCCGCAGCTGTCCGTCAGCAGCCAGGCAGCCTGTGGAGTCGGCCAGGGTTCTCTTCTCTCTGTGGACCCCAGCCTCGAGTAAGTCAAACCCATTTAAAAATGTGAAAAGAAACAACCACACCTGGACGTAACCACGAAGGAGGCAGGTCCGTACCACTGAAATTTCAGTCGGTTCTAATATCCACTTGAGGAGCCTCTCTCAGGAGCGTAAACTTGAGCAGCGAGAACCGGCCCAGGGCGGCTGGGGCCGCCTAAGCCCAGGATGGCGAGGCCCCGCCCCGGGAGGCTTCGTGGAATAAAAACGATGACCGTTGCCAAAGGGGCGCAACAGGACACCTGCACCTGCCTGTGACAGGCGGACAGGAGGTCACTGCAACCCGCCCCTCAGAGGACATCGCCCCTCGGCGCCTCAGACTGCAAGCCCACAGCCGGGACACAGATGCTTCCTGTCAAGCCCAGAGCGAGTAGCGCGCAGGCTGCGCCGGCCACACCTGCTCTGCCGCAAAGGCTCACCTGCCGCTGTTGCTCAGAAGCAGCCATGGCCATGGCCTGTGTACCAGTAAAACTTGATTTGTCCACCAGCCTTGGTCCCCAGTTCCCGGCAGGCAGCCTCTGCTGGAACCCATTTTGTCAGAACCTCACACCTGGGTCCCTCCACTGTGGGTGGCAGTGGGGTACCAGGAGCGGCGGGCAGACAGACAGCCTGTGTTGGTCCTAGCACGGGGCCCACTGGAAGTGCAGCTTAGTGGGGCCCCCCCAGAGCCTCGCTTTCCTCCTCTACAAAGGGGGAACTCTCTGAGGCACAGGGCAGGGACCAGCCAGCCACAGAGGAAGCATCTGGCGATCGGGCTGCGGGGGGGCAGGGGTGGTCAGACGGTGACTCTGGGTGTTCTCAGTACTGGGGTGCAGACCGGCACCTCACCCAGTGATGCTTCCTCTGGAAACCAGGCCGGAGCCACCGGACCAAACCCACAGTCAGTGTGGGCGGCGAGGCCAGCTCAGTGCCACCGTGCAGCCAGCGGGCACAGTGCCCAGGCCATTCACACCAGTGCGTCCTGCCCCCAGCAGCCCCTGCCCCTGCCGCTTCCCCTCGGCCCGCTCTGGCTGGACACTGTCCACCCTGGGCAGCAGTGGCGCGATGCACTCGGGGAATCCACTTCCTGCCGCCCGCTGCTGAGACCAGGTGTCTGGGTCCTTCCTGTCACCTGACCTGGAGCTGCCGGTGACGCATCTGTGCCACACGCACGCTGCTCCTCCTCTTTCATGCCGTGCTGGCCAGGGCAGCTGTGTCTCACGCTCACCACTGTCCCCGAGCCATCTGTCCCCGTCCTTCGAGGTGTCGTCAGCCACCGGAAACCTCTGCAGGGAACGGCAGCTTCATGTTCTACGTGGGAGCTGCAAGGTTCCGGTCAAGGTCACCCGAGGACACCAAGACGAGAAAGATACTGGCACTGCCCATTCGTTCCTCCCCTCACCCAGCAGGCGGAGCCGGCCCTGCCCTGCTCCAGGGCCCAGGAACACAGTGGACAGCCTGGGGTCCACACCCCAGGAATGCCGGTCACCCAACGACAGCCAAGGAGCGAGGCTCTGTCCCTCACAGCCCAGGGAGTGGACAGCCCTACTTCCCTGCTCACTGCACTCGCTGGCCTGCAGGGGGGTGGCAGGTGGCCAGGGCCCAGGGCGGGACATGCCTGTTCACTGCTGCCCTCCATCCGCTGCACGGTCCACCCCCCTCCGAGGAGCTCATGCAGAGCTCATGCAGCCACTGCTCAGGTCTCCAAGCTCCCTGACTGGCCCAGCGACTGACTGAGTGCCACACGGTCGCGTCCAAGGTCCCAGTCTGCCAGAGCAGGCAGCAGGACACACCCCGCCTCGCCCTTGAAGATCTTCCTCTCTAACTGTGCCAGGGAGCGGCAGGCAGCTGTGGCGGAGGAGGGCAGTCCTGGGGCTGGCCAGCGGCAAGATGGACCTGCATGCAGGCAGGGAGGTCTTCCTGCCAGAGGTGGCCGAAGGCAGGCCAGGTGACAGCCCTTCCTGGGACAGGAGTAGGCCTGGCTGCAGTGCACTGGCCATGTGGGTGGCATCCACTGCCCCGTGGGCCAGACCTGAGTCTGGAGGATGCTGGCCCATCCCTGTCCCCAGCTCTCACCAAGCCCTGCAGGGGGACAGGCAGGGCCCACTCAGTCCTCTCCCGGGGGGGAGGAGGAGTCAGCCCACACCCCACTGGCCATCCTCCGGGCCCGCCTCGGTGCTGTCCTTCCAGTTGCGTCCTGGTTCTGAGTGGGTCGTGGCCTGCAGGCTCCCGAACCGCCTGCTGGGAAATCGTGCCAGGCCGCCCGGGCCTTCCTTCCTAACCTACTTAAGGGCCGACGCTAATTATAACCCTGAACCAGGAGGTTGCTTGGAGCTGGCCCTGCTCCTGAAAGCTCCCCCGGGCCTAGGCCGCAAGTTGTGCTCAGTCTCCAGCTCCACAGCTGGGTCACTGGGCCTGGGACCCTGTGGAGAGGCCACGCCTGCCATGCCGCCACGCCCCCTGAGCGCCCATCCGCAGAGCCCACAGGGTGACAGAGTGTGGCCATGCCCTGAAGTTGGGGGGAACCAAGACACATCACAGTGGCACCCAGCCCCCGCATACCACTCTGCCAAGCTCTGTCCTCACCCATGCACTGTCTGCTCTGGGGCCCTCAAGAGGGCAGAAGCACCTGGCACCTGCCAGAGGTGCCCTAGGTTGGTGGCTGGTCCAATCTCCTCAAGGCCACACCCACTTCATCGTGGCCCTGCCCACCTCTTTTGGCCACATCCACATCCTCCCTGCCCCGGCCCACCTCACTGTCCCACCCAACTCTTCACTGCCCCGCCCACCTCCTGTGACCACGCCCTCTTCTCCTGTTGTTCACGCCCATTTCACGATGTCCCACCCACCACAGCCACCACACCTGACTCTTACAGCATCAGTGGCCCTGGGAAGGCACAAGGGGTGTGTAAAGGTACCTGCACTCCAAGACTACAGCGAACAGTGTCCCCACTGTGTACAGATGCCCAGGCAGTTCTGAAAAGCATAGGATCACCTGGGAATCTTGAAAACTTTGCTACTGCACAGGGTGCAGAGATCTCCCAGGGCCGAGCGCAGGCGGGGATCTTCCCTTTGTGGGCCACTCCACCTGGCAGCACCTCTGGAGCAAAGAGCACAAGGACCAGGCAGCACAGCCTCAAAAAACCTTTCCGAATCCCGTGCAGGGCTCCGGAAGTTGTCCTGTGAGGACCGCAGTGTGCAGGTTGGGGAACCCCCGTGCAGGACCCTGCCTGCAGCCCTGGGTGCAAGTCCTGCCCTCTGGGCATGCATCCACTACCAGGTCGACGCATGCCACGGGACCCAGGGAGTCAGAAGGGACAAAGCCCAAAGCCCTGGGCTTCCCGCGGGACACCTCCAACCTAAACCACCACCCAGAGCATGGGGAAGAGGGAGCCCGGGGTGGTCCCAGACACCAGCCCTGTGAATTTCAAGCCACCTGCATAGGAGGCTCTTCTGTCCATGCTCTTGTCACCATGGTGGGCATCAGAGGGGCAGGCAAGCCAAGCACGGGCCAAGGGCACACTGGCACAGCTTGGGCGTGGCCGCAGCTCAGGAGTCCCGAGTCCTACAAGCAGCCTGCTGGACGGGGAGCCCCTGCTTCCAGAGGCTCTGGGGCTCCCTAGTGATCCTGTCACCTCTGACCCTCAGGGGCTCCTGACCCAGGACAGCCGGTCCCGAGTGTCTCAGTGTGGGTGGGCTAAGTTGGGGTGGCGGGGCTGGTTTGGGGGGCCCCAGAGCTTGGGAGGGAAGACAGCCAAGGTGGCATCTCCTGCAACCCTCCAGAACAGGGCTCAGGAGCAGGAGGACAGTGGTCCCAGAAGCCACGCAGAGACCACCTCACCCAGGTTGAACTGTCTCCCCAAAAATTCACATGGCCAGCCCTGACCCCCAGACCTCAGAACGGGACTACATCTGCAGACAGGGCCTTCCGAGGCACAGCTAAGGCGAAATGAGGCCATAGGATGTAGCCGGACCCAGCAGGACCATGCCTTCATCAGAAGGAAAATGGCAGAGCCGGGCGTGCTGGTGCACAGCAGTAATCCTAGCACTCAGGAGGCTGAGGCAGGAGGATCACTGAGAATTAGAGGCCAGCCTGTGCTACACAGTGAGTTCAAGGTCAGCCTGATCTCCACAGCGAGACCCTGTCTCAAAACAGAAAACATGAGGGGAAGACTGTATATATCTGCTGAATTACCACACTATACTTTATAAATATGCATATTTCATATGTGTTAAAAAGTTTAAATGCTTAAAGGGATAGAAATAAATGCCAGCTGTCCCAGTTAGATCGCTGCAGTGTATACATGTGGCCTTGGCACACAGCCTTCCATAAATATGCAGGATAAATAGGAATGACTGATTTTTAAAGGGAAATTCTGGACACAGCGACAGACATAGAGACGACACAGCATGGAGACCGCACCCAGAGGAGCCCTGCGACACCTGGGTCCAGACTCGGCCTCCAGGCCCAGATGGGTCACCGCTGGCTGTCTAGGCCGCCGCTGCGTCAGGCTTCTGTACGGAGCCACCTAGACCTCACACCCCCTCCCCAAGGATCGCGGAGGTGGCGCAGGGCCTGGGACCCAGCTGCTCACCCCTCTGTCTTCCATCTGCAAACTGCCAGTGTCCCTCCCGCCGGTGTCCTGACCGCAGGAGGCTGGGGAGCAGGAGTGTGAGGTTGGGTTCCCCACCCAGCGGAGGCAGCTGTGCCCAAGGCTCCCAGAGGACTCTGCGCTGGTTTCTGGCCGTTCCCAGACCCTTCCAGCCGTGAGCAGCTGGCGTCCCGTCACCTGGCTGCCACATCCCAAATGAGTGGTGGCCCAGAGCGTCAGCTCTCACGGTGGCACCCGGAGGCTCCCAGGTCAGCAAGCATCTGGGCTAACAAGACACACGAGGGCCAGGTGGATGCTCACCCGCCAGGCCACTCAGCAGGAAGCGCATCTGTGGCCGCAGAACCACACAGGGGCCCTGAGGGATCCATGATCTACGCAGCCTCCTCTTGGCCCCTGTGCCCGGTCTGTGCCAGGACTGTGCTCAGCTGCTGCGCCACTGCCCTGGTCACCATGCTGCAGGTGGGCAGAGCACACAGCTGAGGCAGCAGCAGGCCCTCAGCTTCCCGGGGGGCTGCCCCCACACTGCCCCACCCTGCCAGGCCTAGCCCTGCACACCCAGCCTGGGGTGGGGTCCGGCCACCATCATCGACCATCGGCCCGTGAAGGCCCTGGCCTGGGGTCCAGCATGATGTCTGTGAGGGTCCAGTGATGCCCTAGGCTCCCCTTCTCATCCCTGTCCCAGGAGGACACCCTCTGCCTGGTCAGCCGGGCCACTGTAACAACACTGTGAACAGACAGGGACACCACCCTGACAGCGCTGGGGACTGGAGCCCACCTGAAAGACTCAGAATGTGCCAGCAGCATGGTGACCACACAGCGGTGCCAGGCATCCTGGGAGGCCCACGGCCCATCGTGCACAGAACCACCCCTGCAGGTGAAATGAGGGAGCCCCGTACAGAGACCCCCTCCTCAGCGGACACAGGCTGGGTCAGTCCAGTGGGGCAGGCACCCTAGGGCGAGGCTGAGGGGCCCAGCAGTCTGGGACAGGACACTGCCACCAAGGCAGGAAGTGGGCCCGGCCTCTGCTGGACCGAGGAGCCCGTGAATCAGTGCTTCTGCGAGCACCAGGGCAGACACAGAACAGGCTGGCTTGGTGCACATGGTGATGCCAGGTTTCGGGGGCACTGCCTGCTGTGGGCGCAGTGGGCATGAGAAGCACTGGCACCATGCGCTGCAAACAGGGCATGCTCGGTGAACTCCACACCTCTGAGACCACACAGCCTGTGGCCGGCAGGCCAGGGCCAGAACTGGGTCTGGCCCCCTTCACTTCCTGGCTCTTTTCGCATCCTCTTGAGCCCCTGGGCCAAGGAACACTGGCACCGGGAAAGCATTTCCTGAGCATCTAATTAAAGCTGGGCACCCAGCTACTGGCCGACAGCCAGGGGAGGACCGAGGGCCGAGCTCTGGGCATCCAGTCCACAGCTGCCCCAGTGGCGCAGAGACCGCTCCACAAAGCCCAAGGCTCGGGGTGTCGGCTCCCAAGCATGGGGTGGCTGTGGGCAGGCAGGGTGCGCCCACCCTTGGTCCGCACTCGGCCAGCCAGATGGGCCAGGAGTCGAGGTGGCACAACCGACTGGAGCTCAGCCCGGAAGCGCCGCTGGCCTTGGGAGAAACAAGCGGCCCTGGGCTCAACCACAAAGATAACCCAGAGAAACCCTATCAGTGTGCAGAAGGGGAACACGACAAGTCCCGCTGCCTCCTTCCCGGAGATGACTGCCTGGCGGTGCTGCCATAGAACATGCGGTCCCCACCCACGTAAAACGGTCGGGTCGCCTGTTTTTTGTATATTCA